AGAGAGAAAGAAAGAAAGAAAGAAAGAAAGAAAGAAAGAAAGAAAGAAAGAAAGAAAGAAAGAAAGAAAGAAAGAAAGAAAGAAAGAAAAAGGAAAAGAAAGAAGGAAAGAAAGAAGAAAGGATTTTCCAAGTCTTGGGTAGATTATAAAAAGTAAATTAGATTTGCATAATTAATAAAAGATTTACGGACACCAGAGTTACAGTTGTACAAACATCTCTGAAAGTGAAAGTTTCAGCTCCTTTGCTTGAAGACTGTTTTATCAATGATTTCTCTTTTTTCACTCCTGAAGGCGAGAGTCCCCAAATCCAAAATCGCAACATGGCCAGGGTATGTATCAGGAAATTCTTCCCCAAACGGAAGTGCTTTGTCTTTGACCAGCCTGCACATAACAAAAAACAATTACTTCATATTGATGAAGCATCAGAGGATCAACTGGAAAAGAGTTTCCAGGAACAGTCCAAAAATTTCTGTTCATATATCTTCAAAAATGCAAAAGCCAAGACCCTAAGAGAAGGAATCATTGTCACTGGAAATGGTGAGTCTCCTTTGTGACAGCATGTCTCTCTGTGGTTCAGCGTGTGTGATGAAGCTGTGATTACTCTCTGGATTTGTCAGTAATTTTGTTTTCTTCTCTATGTGATGTGGAAAAGCACATGTTCATGCCACACATAGACATGCATGTTTCTTCATGAGTTTCCCTATATGAGGGATTATTGAACTTACTATATCTCATGAACTAATACACTTATGCATAGGCACGAGCTGCTGTTAAGGATACAAATCTGCATATGGATGAGACGTTCAGTGGGATAAGCATTTCTTGGTGAGGATACACAGAATATTTTGTGAATTTACACCAGAGAGAAAATAAATAGCATCTGAGAGCTCATTAGAGTTTGAGAAACAAATTTATATATAATCCTATGTACCAGGCTGGATTCATGGACATGCGACCTGGGGGGACACAAAGTGCCCTGTGCTGAGACGGATCCTTGCTTGGTTTACTATTTATGTCACTGTCCCAAAATTCTTGATTTATTTTTTTACAAGGGCTCCTGCTTTTTCATTTGGAACAGTGCCCACAATTCATATACTCTAATTATGTGTAAAACAAACTTTTATGATTTATATCAATGTGAAAAGTGTTCTAGGAATTCCTTCACATATTGGTTGAGATTATTAATTTAATATTGTAATGGATGAACTCATGAACCATAAAAGAGACAGTGAATAGGAGACACGGTGATGTTATTATAAGGAAGTGGATTCATGGAAGAGCAAGGAGAAGGAGACAGGTGAGGTCCAAGAAGATTAGGAGGAAAAAAATTAAGAGAAAAAGCAAAACTTCACTGCAATAAAATTATGATGATTTTTTGAATGCTAATCTCTAAATCTCTAAAACAATGAATGTGAACTTCCTGTCCATTTCCTAAATACCGTGTGCCATTCAGGGCTGAAGACCCTAGTGGTGACCTATGTGAAAGCCATCAACAGTGGAGCAGTACCTTGTTTGGAGAATGCAGTGACAACTCTGGCCCAGCTTGAGAACTCAGCGGCGGTGCAGAAGGCAGCCGACCACTACAGTGAGCAGATGGCCCAGCGAGTGAGGCTCCCCACAGACACGCTCCAGGAGCTGCTGGACCTGCACTCAGCCTGTGAGAAAGAAGCCATTGAAATCTTCATGGAGAACTCCTTCATGGATGAAAACCAGGAGTTCCAGAAGGAGCTTTTGGTACTTTATCTTAGCATATATCTTTCCTGATTCCTGTCCTTTTAGAATGATGCCTAGACTACCCTCCTTTAATCCCATAGTTCATGTGTTTCTCATTGTAGGAGTTTAGATTCTTGTGAGTGACAAGCCTCTATATAGGCTATATTGTTACTTTTTCTAAAAGAATGGTTCTTTATTTTCAATTATTGCAAAACAAATGACCATGTGCTTAGCAGCTTAAGACAACACACATTTATTAGATCACATTTCTTCAGGTCAGAGTCCAGCATAAGATATGCGTACCTTGCTCAGCAGAAAACAAGGTTCAAATGAGTTTATATTATCAAATGGAGGTTCTGGGAAACTCCTCTCCATCTTTAAGCTAGCAATGGTGCATCACATCCTTGTATTGTTTCTAATCTCTCTGACTACCTTCTCTGTCAACAACTGAAGAAAACTGTTTAAAGGGCTCAAGTAGTTATGTAATATCCACCAGGTAATCTCCATCTTAAAGCCAACTTGTGCTGTATAACATAATTTAATCATAGGATTAATATTCATCAGATCCGCAAGCCCAAGGATTATATACAGAGTGGACACCAGAGAAGAGAACTCTTAGAAGACATCATAATTTTTCTTATCATAGGCATCTTCACTGAAAGCTTGTCTTTGAGCCTATCTTTGACTATCCTACAGGTTACAAAAATCTCTCAGTTCATGTAGAAGAAAACCAAGTGCGTCGAAATGTAGAAGTACAACAAATAAATTTTGTTCTTATATTTTTGCACAAACCTTCATTAAAAGAATTCATGACAGGTTTAAAACTCTATTCAGAGGCCAGCTTAACTCATGAAAGGGCAATTGATTTGCCAGATAGATAGACAGATAGATAGATAGATAGATAGATAGATAGATAGATAGATAGATAGATAGATATAGATATAGATAGATATATAGAGATATATAGAATATAGAGATATATAGATATATATAGATCTATAGATACATAGATATATGTTTAGCTTCATAACAACCCGTTTTCAGAGGACAGTCTACTTCCAGTCATATTGAACTTTCCATTGCTCATAACTGATGAATGGATCACTGTTAATCTTATTACTGGTAAAGGAGCCATGCATAATACTGGATTGCATATTTGAAAGTTGCTAAGAGAGTAAATCTTACAACTTCTCATCAAAAGAGAAAAATAATTGTAACTATATAAGATGAGAGCTGTTGACTCAACTTATTGTGGTGATCATTTCGCAATGTATACAAATATTGATTCATTATGTTGGATACGTGAAACTATAATGTTATACGCCAATTGTGTTGACTCAATTGGACAAAAAAGGCACTATGGAGTTCATGTGTACCAGCCCCATCATTTCACAGATGTTGATGCTGAGCAGAAGCAAATAAAGGACTTTCCTCATGATGTCTGATCGTTCCAACTCCCCATCGATCCTGATGCCATCAGACTGCTTCTTTTATTTTTTTAAATTTTTTCAGTTACAGTTGACATACAGTATTAGATGAGTTTCAGGTGTACAACAGAGTGATCAGACATTTATATAACTTACAAAGTCATCACCCCAGTAAGCCTAGTATCCATCTGACACCACACAAAGTTATTGTAATATTATTGACTATATTTCCTATGCTGTACTTTATATCCCCATGACTACTTTTATAACTGGCGATTTGT